GCTTTATTGATAGAAGTGATAGATAAGTACCCTGGCAAAAGGGGATAGAGAAAGAAACAATTATAAATTATTTGATATTCTAGGAATCGAATTCATGACTTGCAAATTGTAATTTCTTCTTACCTTCTTTCTTGAACACTATGTTTTTCTTACATTTGAGTTGGTCAATGTTGCAAGGATGTGACAACATGGTGCTTGTATTTTAAGTTACTTTCATGAATTAACTAGATAGACTGACATTTCAGTTAACCAATGGTATTCATACCTCTAGTTTTTTGAGATAAATAATGATGCAAAAATGAAGCGATCAAAGCTAAGACCTCTACCTTCAGGATGCCTTAGGAAAATTAAAAATTAGTTTCGGTCGCTATTGCTTTGAAAGGACTCTTTGTATTTGGCTATGGATTTGGAGTCTTCCTCCTGGTGAGATTTTTGTTTCTTAAGAGTGATTATTTTGGTTCTGTTTGAACTATGAAGTTATATGTTAATTCCACCGAGCAATTACGTTTCAGAAAGGTCGGTATTAATTACATCGAATAAAGTAGGAATCAAGTGTGTTTATTTTCCTTTTTACCAATTTTGAATTGTTGTTAATGCTTCTTTTGCAGTGAGGTCTACTTTGAAGATTTCCTTGGTAGGGATCTCCTCAAAATGAACTCTTTCTTATTCTCTCTTAAAATGGGGTGGGTGGGGACAATAAAGGAGATTGACTATGATATGATGACATTCCTTGCACTTTGAACTTTGGTGGTTAATACTACGTGATTTCTGTAATGCTAGGGCGAATTCTATATTTTGGTCTCGTTCTCTGAACCTTACTCTTCCAAATTCTTATGTATTTCCCCAAATTCAAGATGATACCAAGACAACCTGTCCAGTTGAAAGAAGTTCCGAGGTGACCATCAGTCATAGTGGACTAAGTGGAGAGCATGTTAATGAAATTGATGGAAAAAGTGAGGTTACAGTTTAGTTCTTACCACTTTTGTACCTAGATCTTTCCTCTTATTTGCTTTCACAGGTGAAAGTTTATTGTATTAACATGGAGCTGAGGTTAAAGATTTTTATTTATTTTGGGTTTATATCAGGATTTGAGGATCATGAGAATGATAACAAAGTCAATAGAGCAACTTCCACATCGAAACAAGAAGAAATTGTCTAGGTGGAGGGTCTTCTCCCTAGCATTGACTTTTGCAACCATGGTATGTTACTTTTTATTAGTCAGTGGCTCTCTAGTCAATTGGTTAGAGTCTATTCTCATTGAATTTTTTGGTTGTTAATTTATTTTTAGAGTTGAAGGCAGTGGCAACATGGGAAGTTCCTTTCCCAAAGGTAAGCATTAATGCATTATTATTTGTAATCAATAAGCTTAATTCTCAGTATTATTGGAAACGTTCTTTAATAAAATGTAAGTTCCACTGTCAATATGCCTTTTGTTCCTAATATTTTCTGTGTTGTTAATTAGTTCCCTTTGTTTGGGGCTCTACTGCTATGCTTTTAACTGATCTATGAATTTCTTGTTTTTGCCTTTATGATATCCTTTGTGTATTCTATTTTTCATGCATATAGCATCGCAAGCCTATTTCAAAGTTAAATTACTATTAATAGTATATTCCGAGGACATTTAACTTATATGTGACTTATGTGGTTACCAACTGATCGATATGTAATTTAGTAATCTAATTTGCTAAATCAGTGCGATTGAGTAATTACTGTTTCCATACTTTATGCATTATTGTCCGTCTTTCCCACCTTAGAGGGATTGTAATTGGAGTTCTATGTGCCAAGGTGGGTATTTGAGTTGTACTATATTTCCCGTTTAGAAGTTGTGAATTAAGCATGCTGATAAACATAATTGAATTATTTTGATTCTTAGTTTTGACATAATTGGACTACTTAGCGTTGTACTATTCTTGTTCCTTATCACTTTATTTTTCAATTTTCTTTTGCAGATATACAATGAGCAAATAACAGATTTATTGGATCCAAATCAAAGAAACCTACAGGTAGAATGGATTTTGTGCTATAATTTTGGGAAGGGGTCGGGAACAGCTGGTGCATCTGATGTTCCTACTAGTTCAGTTGAAGCCAATGCTCATTCGCAGCCTGTTTCAAGATTTCTCGACTCTAAAAAAGCAACTTCAAAATTGCAGAAGAAGCTAGAGGAGTTGCATATAAGATCTTATAATCTGTTAGTATCTTCTTGTGATAATCTAAGAACATTCTTGGTTTTTTGTTTTCAAATAGCCATAGGTGATGGATATTATGTTTGTAACTTAATGTGAATATATTGTATGCAAATAGATTGCTTATATATAATATGATATATATATTTAGTATTATGAGACATTAAATGTGATTTAGTTTGATTATTTCTCAATCTATAATATATATATATATATATATATATAAAAACAATAATTTACTAAATACAATCAAGACACACGAATGTAAGTCATACATGCGTGTCATAAATTTATGACACACAAATGTGTGTCATCTTAATTTATGACATGGGCTTCAATGACGCTCAATGAACGTCATAAATGTGTCATAAATGCATGTAAAAAATTTATGACGCACATTCATGCATTTATTAATTGACCCAAAGAAAATTTAATATTTAGCCAAATTTCAAGCAACACATGTGGTAATAACATGTGACAATTATAATGTATTTTTTTATGTGAGCATTATATTAGTCTAAAGTTCGACATAGCTTATTGTCAACATTTGATTACTACAACAAGAGTATCGTTTACTGTTAATATTATTGTTTAAGGACTTGTTATTGATATAGTGTTTGATATCTTGTGATGAGAATTAGCCATTATATTTAAATTTATTTATTTACTTGAGATGTGAGTTTTAATTCACTACTAGAAAAAAAACCCTTTAATGACGCGCATTACGCATCATCTATGAGTACGGATGACACACAAATACCTGTCGTTGAAGCCACCGACATGAATTTTTTATGACGCGCAATTGTGTGTCATAAATCTATGACACGCATTTATGACACACATTTATGATGTACATTTATGACTCGCATTGAGCGTCATTGAAACCCCCGTCTTAAATGAAGATGACACACATTCGTGTGACGTGATTGTATTTCGTAAATTATATATATATTGTAGATTGACAAATAATCAAACTAAATCACATTTAATGCCTCATAATACTAAATATATATCATATTATATAAGCAACCCATTTTTATACAATATATTCACACTACAAATATAAACAATTAGTCAAAGAAAACAAAGAAAATACGACATTGAGAAAGAACATATAATCATTATATATATACAATAATGCACTTTGTTTTCACATACTTAGAGCTTTGAGCATCTAGATAAAAGCCACAGAAATGTGTAAATAGCAGTGTTGCCAAACCTGTATTGACAAAAAAATGAGGATGCTTAGAATATGCAAAAACAATATCAACAAAAGGTAAGCAAAATAAAACAAAGATGTCAAAATTTTGCACAACCAGTACATAATAAGCTCCATATCGTATAAGCAATTTGCAACCTATAGCATAAACCTTTTGGCAACTCAACGGCTTAAATGCATTTAATATTTAATTTTCATTAAAAGTATAAGAAAAATAAATTAGTGCTGTCAGAACCAGTTTCAGGGCAAGGCATTAAGATATGAAAACACGAAGCAAGACAAATGGTAGTAATTCAACAAATTAGGATCCTGCTTAATTAAGAAACTTTATTATACAGAGAATGCAACTTGACCACTCCACAAAACCCCCTTAACCTTAGTTCAAGTTTAAGAAATAAAATATAGGATAAAACAATACATGTAGCAAGTATTGCTACTACATCTATACTTGATTTGAGCATAACAATAATCATCCATGTTTATTTAGTTGAGAATTTTTACAAACTCAAGTCAACCTACTAACTTGGGTGCAATAGCTCTTTAACAACCATTAGGATAGGAAAACAGACAGATCATTGAGGAACAATATTATACTTAAAACAAAAAAAGAGTCTGAAACAAGCAACAAGTTCACAAGTAATACTCTGCTTTCAGTCTCGGCAGGGTTTTCAAGCAGTATGTATTTTTTGCTGACAGATGTAACTCATTACACAACACAAACCACACCATAATAAGGAAAACACTTCACCACACACCAAACACAAATTCCAGTCATACCACAGTTAAATATTTACCAAAGACTTGATGCAAAGAAGGCATTTATAGGTATTACACATGTCGCATTTCTACAACACCGAGAACATTTGTTTAGGAAAGAGAACATCGATACTGTAGCTAAGCAGTAATTGAGAATAATAACAACTATTTTAGATAAAGAATAGAACTTACATTTGAAATGTCATTTTGACAGGAGCTACAACATGCATGGCAAGATCGAGGGAGAGGAAAATGCATTACAAAACTAGGCAAAACAATGGAAGATGAAGCTTGCATAGAAAAATAATATATATGCTCTCAAATTTATATTTCGCCTCTGTAGGTAAAATACAAAGCACAAAAAAAAATACAATGGATCTTTAGTTTCAGGTCATAAGGAGACCACTAAGTTCTGGAAATGGGGATAATGTACAAAAAAACACATTTTATTGTGACGAACTTAATTGGCATTCCTACAGCTAGTTGCATTTGCATATATTGTTGAGACGGGAGTATGTGTATATATGATATGAAAGATGTGTATATGATACGAGAAATGTTTATGTATGATAGTTGTATTCTTTATTCTACAAGAAAATATACTAGTCCATATGATAGTTTTATGACTAATGTGTATGTATGATATGACAGATGTGTATCAGAAAAGTTTGCTTATATTCTTATTGACCAACACTTCAAGTCCATTCTCAACTATCTCTTTCATGAACTTACAAACATAATATCCACACTCGGTGCCTCCTGACTGACGGAGACACTACAAACAGTTTACAATAAATGATTAGTCAAATGAAAGCTGCAATTTAAACAACGAATGATCGAAGTCCTCACCAAACATTGATCTAATTGAGTCTAACCTTTTGTAGATCCACTTTGAGCAGTGTATAATATCATTGCCCTATAAAAATGATGAATATATCAAAGAATATTCTATAATGTTTCGATAATTTATGTTACTTACGCATTAATAATCTGCTTCAACTGCTGATGGACATTGGTGGGCCCCAAGGAATCATGATAATAACTTGTTGCTTCATATCTATCACCGCCAACACCCAATGTCTTCTATAAAAACCAAATTAAGTTACTAAGTTTTTTTTATAATCAAATGAAAAACAAACCCTGGATTATATGGCACTAGGCCGATGTCATTGTCCTTTCTTAGAGACAATCGATCTGCAATGCTTCAACTTGCCTCATCGCTATTTTTGAATTTTACCTTACGTCCTGATGGCGAGATTACAGACCTATATAATTTCTTTAAATAAATGAAAATATAAAGAAATCATTTAAATTAGACCTATATAATTTCTTTAAATAAATGAAAATATTACCAAATCAGAGCATAGAATGACTAGATGTCTAGGCCACTTAACTAGGTACCCCATTACATCTTTAACCTTGTAAATGAACTCATGAGATAAATTTTGAGTATATACAGAACAGTGTATCCCAGAGCCATCATTCACATATCAACTGACACAAATGGGTGGGTATACTTGATGAGGGCTTTGCTCTGGATTTGATTATACAGAGTCTCAACATGGTCATGTATATGAATGTCAAGCATCAGGTTGGATTTGAGGTTTCCAAGATACTCCAAGCAGGAAGCATAATGGCTGCAATAAAAATGAAGCCACAAGTTAAAAGTAAGTGTTTCTCATCAATTACAAACATGTAAGGAGTCTGAAACGCAGAGTCGCATGACAAAAAATTGTATATTATAATATTAACCACAGAAAAGTCACTACATATTACTTAAAGATAGATAATACCTTGAATCAAAATCATTAATAAGCTCCCTTACTTCAGGTGCCAACTCCAAGAAATCCCTGAAGTTGATATTGTCAATAACTTTATTCTGTAAAGTAAAATACATTGCATGACTACAAATCTATCAAACAACAGTAAGACATTACCAGAAAATAAAAAAAGGGGACTAGAGAGATTTATGCCCTCAGTTCAGTTCGACCAAAGCTTGCAAGTGCACAAAGAACACCAAAGTAGCAACATCTTGAGGAGCAATGACTTCACTGTCTGAATTCCCCAATTCAGAACCCACTTCCAAGAACTGCACGAAATCCCGACTGTTACATTTCATATTAATAACCAATACAAGATGACTAACAGACGGATACCTCTGCAAAAAAACGCATAGTACGTAAACTAGGAATTGATCAGGCCAACAAACTTTTAGGGATTGCTCCAGATAAAGGAAGCAGAACTAAATCCTTGAGGTACACAACCATCGCACTGCAATAGCATCAGAACGAACACTACAATACTAGTTTTCTTTGAGTCCATCAAATTAACTCTCTTTAAGTTTTCTACCATAATGTCCTCCACTAAATCTAACACCATAAAGGATTCCAGGCTTCCTTTGAGGAAAGCAATGCTCCGGGCATGCTTAAAATGAAGATTGTTTACACTAAGTTCATTGAACTTATTGAGCTCAAGATCAAGATGCATATATTTTGATCTTATAGGACAAGATTTCAAACCAAATTGTGTGGCTTAAATTGCTTCTGAACTCACGTTCTAGAAAATGACTTAGTAAATAACCATAAGTAAATACTACACACTTCAACCATATCTCAAATTCAACATATCAGGAATAAAAGAAAGTGCATGTAACGATCCGAAATCATTGTAAGCTGAAAAATTGCAACATTTGAATTTGCAAGATCAAAAAACAATTTATAAGCTGAAAACCTTCCGAGCAGCAAGCTTGTACTTCTTAGACTCCAAATGAGGCAATCTGACGGCACATCATAGCTTAGCAGTAGTGGGAGGGTCAAGTGCCTTGGGTTTTTGCTCAGCCTTACTAATGTAGCTTCTCACATGAGAAAATTGACCCATCTCAATGCTCACAAGAATAGCGCTCAAACACATTTGAATAACATGCTTTGACGTAATACAGTAATCTCGAGTTCGAACGTAGCTTTTAAAAGCATCCCCCAATGCACCATGAGCATATTAAAAATCTCAAAAATCATTGTAACCCATTCTTATACTTTCTTTGATTAAATTAGTCTGATAGTTAGAAACCAAACAAATTAAAAGAACTAAAGAACTAAATAGTTTCTAGAAAATAAATTTAGTTAGAAACCATGAGCTTCTCTTTCCTTTGCTCGGCTTTTCGATCAACCATAGCGCAACAGGCGGAATCCATCAAATAGTTCGGACCCAATCGACCGTCGATCTTCTGGACTATTTCACGGAATAGTTGATTGTTCTCCCCCTTTTTGAGCTCATCGTAAGCCATCCTTAGGGATTCCAAATGTATTACGGTATTGTCGCAGTGGTCGAAGATGAATATGAGCCGCATGATCTTGGTACGGCCGGAGTAAAGTGCAGCATAGGCCTTAATTTCTAGGTGTTCACCACTAATGATGGGCCAGAACTTCCGCTCCGTTATCGACGTTGAGGATGGCGGTGCATCGTCTACATACCCGATGTCGTTCGCACACATCTCCTCCATTAGTGGATTCGAGATGTTGTCTTCTCCAACCATTGTTTAATTTTTTTTGAAAGAAATATAAATGAAATGATATATGAAATTTAGGAAATTTTAGGGATAAGGTTTGTGTGTGAACTATTTTAGCTTATCACAGTCAAACTCGCGCCTAACAAGAACAAGAGAATCGGGATGAAAATCAGCAGAGAAAAGGAGAGAATGAAATGAGTGGAAAACATTAGGTGTGAACTGATTATAGAAGGGGAAGAAAGAAGAAAGGATGAAAATAATGGAGAAATTAAAATACGGCTTTTATGGCACAAATTAAAAAGTGTACTCTGTGTTTTTGTAAATTTTTTGAATTATGACTATTAAATATGACACACATTATTGTAAGTCATAAATCGTTTAAATTTTAAAAAACATGACATTTTTTATGACACACATTTTTTATAAGTCATAAATTAGTGTGTGTCATCGTTCGTGTGTCATTAAATATATATTTTCTTGTAGTGATTTTATTTATGTTTTTTTCTATATTCAACTAACTATTTATTTATTACTACCGTAATATATGCTATTATACCTTTTTTGCTCTGCATTAAAAAATGAATCTCAAGGAATGAGAAAATGCAATTACATAAGATTTAGTTGTATGAACATAGACTTTGCACTAAGGAAAGAACAATTTCTATCTATCATGAGGATAACATCCTTAATTGGTATAAGGGATTTTGAGAGGTGAATTTTTTTCGAATTGCATAAGCCTAGTGGTCATGAAGCATAACATTTTAAAAGGATTTAAGGGCACATAATCTTAAAAGATTACTAAGGCTAATGGTTTCCTTGACAAAATTGATAAATGTTTTTTCAGAAATAATAAGGTTTAAATGACATCACTTTGGACTTCTTTGATTTCTATAATGTATAAGGTCAAGGAAATGTAAGAGATCACATTATGGATATGTTCATACTGCTTTAAGACTTAAGGCACTTAAGATCGAGTTTTTCCAAAGAATACTTGTTCTTGTGATTTTAGTATCGCTTCCTACTGAGTTTAATCAAATAAAAGGGAGAAATGAACTATAAATGAGCTCATTTTTTATTATGTACAAGAAGAAGAAATGTTGAAGAATAATAAGTCTAAAAATACTCAATTGAAAAGTGCAATAAAGATAAAAAAAATAAAATTAAAATGTAGTTGTTAAGGGTTCAACTTCAAAGAGACAACAACATGTTATAAAAAGTTGTTCTCTTTTGTAATAAGTTAGGGCATATGAGGAGAAATTGAATTCTAAAATAGTAAGCAACTACTTTGGTTATTTGAGCAATCCAGGGGTTATAAGTTTTATGATATCATACTTAAAAATATTTTTAAGGTGAGATCTATAACATTATCTGTTAGGATGTTGAGTCTTGAGGGAGAAATATGGTTTAAGGAATTGATTTTAAGGAGGAATTGGATTATAAATCAATTCTATTATCACTTTTGATGATAACCATGTGTTCATACATGTGTTAATCAAGAAGTTAATATAGAATCTCAACAAGATTATTTGAAAACTCTTCATTTAAGATGATAAATTTGATAGAAGAACAAACTCAATAGCCTTAAAGAACAATTGTAATTAGGATAATCCACGAGATGAGAGAAATATTATTTTAGATTATTATGTTTCTGCAAGAAATAAGGATAACAGTAGAATGATGAAAGATGATCTAATCAACTTTGTCATGTCATAAAAGTTATGACTTTCAAAAGTGGATTAATGCCATGTAAGAAGAGTATAAGTTCTATACAAGATAATAAAGTTTAAGGAGATATCCATTACCTGAAGGTGCAAAGTTGATTGGTTATAAATTGATATTTATAATCAATATGGATGCAAATGATAATATTGACAAGTATAAGGCATGTCTTGTATATAAAGGGTATACTCAGAAAAAAATATTAATTGTATAGAGACATCTTCTTTGATTTATAAAAGACTCTTTTGGGATAATAATGATATTGTTGCTCATATTTGATCTTGAGTATCATAAGTTGGATTTCAAAATTATGTTTGTTAATGGTAACATTGATGAGATGTTTTATGGTGCAATTAAAAAATTGTGTATGATGATATAAAATAAAAGATATGCAAATTAGAGAAATCAATTTATGAGTTTAAGTACGACTCCCGATAATTGTATAACATATTTTATCAAGTGATTATCTCGATTTTGAGATGAATTTGATTGAAAATTGTACGTACTATAATTTCAATGCGAATTGTAACACCCCTTTCCTGTATCCATCACCACATACGAGTCAGAGATGTCAAATGAAATATATAAGCATTCCTTATTTGAAAATCGTAAATTTTTTTCTTTAAAATTTATTCTATTTAACATTTATCGCCAAAACTATTTAATCGCGTAAATTCGAAAAGTAATATTTAAAATATTTTTTCATTCAATTTCAAGAAGCAACATGGCAATTCAATATTGTTTATGAGGAGTGAAATTGCCTGAAAAACTACCTAAAAAATTCATCTTTATGCTAATAAAATAACTTATCAAAATATTAAACCAAAATCCATGTTCTTAACTACATATTACTTACTGAATCTTTACATATAAATTATTACAAACCATTTAAAATATCATAGAAATAACATAGTATTTTTAACTCATTTATAATGCTACAGACACTCATTATACATATACATATATAAACCAAAACAACAATAAGATGTCATTATTAATACCAGTAGGTAGTCTTCGATAAGTGATGCCAAATAAAGCTCCTTACACCTCTCGATCTCTTTTCTACATCAAATACTACACTTAATTAGGCATAAATAAACTAGAGTAAAGCATTTCAATATATAAAGATTTCATAATAATCAAAGTATTGTAATTATCATATAAAAATATATGACCATTTTCATCTATAACATGTAAAACATCATTCTCATGTCTAAAACATTTTATGACAATAGAGTATTCGATGAAAGATTTACTTTCAACGAAAATATCAAACCTATACTTTTCATTTTCATATAAACCATAACCAATGTATGATAAATTATAATGCATGGTATGTGAGTAGACGAGTGAATGCAATATGTAGTTTGACTGCTACATAGATAACATGTACCCTTGGTGCCAGAGTACATGAAGTATTAATATAAAATATGTGTGTTGTAGAACACAACATCATGTATAGATAATCAGATGGTAGTTCACAACGTCAAAACATTATGAACCCTCAATGCACATATATTGTCAGGAGTATAGGAATGTACTAAACATAATTGATTGATATGCACTCTACCTCATGGCATGCCAATTGTACCAATAACTCTCAATGTACATATAATGGGCTTTTATCAAAATCAATACCATCCATTTAAAAAGTATTCATAGATACTAATAAATCAAAATCATAAAAAAGACATTGGGCAGTTTATACCAAAAAATCATCTGAATACTATTTTATAAAATAATATAAAAATAGATCAAATATGATTTAAATACTTTTTTCCAAATCATTCGAGGTTGAGTCATCGCAAGATGATCTCATACTATATGATAATATAAGTCTAGTAATGTACTCACCTGGTGCCTCACTAGATAAACTTTACTATCGATAATGCCTCACTTTTGCACTTTTCCTTAACTTTAAGTTTGCTTCGATCTCGATTTCAATCACAACCTATACAAACATCGTTTACAAAACATATACATTCAAAGTACATGTTAGTATCTTACTAACATAGGCACATAATAGGAAATAAGTTCCTAAAAATTCTTTAGATACTTATTCAATACTAATTTTATTTCATAACATAATTGTCAACCTTAACACTTTAAAATATAGCTTCAAATTTCCCAATTTCCATTTCAAAGAATATATCACATAACCATTCTCAAACTCACAATTTAACCACTAAAATGAATTCATCTCAACATCCAATTTATTTAAAATGTTGCATCTAACTTAAATTCCAAACTTTAAATAACATAACCAAGCATATCAAAAATCCATTTAAACATTACACATCAACTTATAATCAATTTCAACTTTAAAACCATATTTTCAACATTATTCTATTTGGTTCCCTAACATTTACAAACTTCTAAATGATCCAAACAACATTAAGCTTGTAGAAACATTTATTCATCATTTTAGCCTTAGGGAATTTTTCCATATTTCCCTAATTTATTCACTTAGGTCCAACAAAATATGGTACCTGAGGCATGATTCCAACTTGATTCAAGCATGAATTCAACTTCTAAACTCATTTCAATCTACAATCATTTCATAACAAATTCAATTCAACTTCAATTTTTACAAAAAACACTAAATGGCCAAATGCTTTAAACATCATTTATGGTTTTTAATTAACTGTCAATCATGGAAATGAATCAACAAAATCAACTTCACCATAATCCAACCTTAAAACATGGAAACCTAACCTCCCCTTCATCCACCCAATTAAGAATTCAAGGTTTCAAGCATGGAAAGTATGAAAAAAATGGTACCAAATGATAGAGAATTTCATGTATAAAATTTTAGATTTCATGCTTTCATCCAAATTCCTAATAAACTAAATTCAAAATTTAAACAAAGTTTCTATTATCCATGGAGGAGCTCACGGGGGCTAGAAGAAATGGGAGACAAAGTCTTGAAATTTCTTTAAAATATCTAAGGACATTTGTCATTTTTAAGGCTAAATTGAATTAAAAACATCATTTTATGTCAAATGACCATTTTATCATTAAAAATATCATGTAAATTACCATTCCACTTTTCTATTTATTCATAATATGGCCAAAGATGAACCAAAAAATTATTAACTTCCAACTTTTCCTTTTACTTCTCTAAAATTACAATCATACCATTTTTTATCCAAGTTCTGTTAACATGGAAAATCAATCTTTAAAGCCAATGTCCATGTTAAATTCCAATACTTTAAATATGAAAATGAAAATATTAAACTTACTTTCATCCTCCAAAATTCTAAAAAATATGATTCAATCCGATTATTTAAATTTTCCTATCGCTTTAT